TAATAGTGATAAATATTATAAAAATCAATAAATATTAATTAATAAGAATTGATTTAAGTACTGTGATTAACAAAAACTTCCTTTTCAAACACAATGACCACCTTTACTTTTTTTTGTTTATAGTCAATTAATAAATCGAACTTGATATCAAATCCAAAATATAAACGAACTTTTTGGTTTAGTTCAATAAAATCACATGATCAATGAAAGGTCTATGAATTCAATTCAAAATCTGTCAAGAAATTTTAAATAACATGTCAAAATTTTCCTCAAAAAAGCAATTCTAGGAGAAATCGGCCCTTTTGCTGTCAACCTAGCTTAAGGTTTCGTAAAATAAGGATTTTAGTGTATAGACTCGACTATTTCATACATAGATACTTTCCTCAAAATTGCATATAGACTTAAGTAAATTTTCTAATTTTACTTCATTCCATGAATCTTATTATTTTTTGATAACAACCTTAAGGTTATATTGATTTTTAAAACAAATCTAAAAAAATCTGCAGAATTATCTTTAGCTTTCGAAGCATATTGATAGAGTTAGATTAATGATGAAAAATGGAAAAGACAATTTCGATAATTGAATAGACATTGATAGTTTTGAATTTATTATAAACATTTAAAGTTAAAGTACAATTTAACACTATTATTATGTATTATACGAAATAGTAATGTTGGTCAGCTACTTAACACTCAAATGCAGAATTTATGAATTTACTCAAATTATGGATTTTTGAAAACAATTTACGATTAACCTGAACTGATTAAAAAAAAAATTACCTTTTATAACTTTATACTTTTTATAAGACTTTTAAAACTTTTTTATAAGATTTATATTTCATTTATAGAACCTACACAAATAGGCTTACCACAGCTTTATAACTAAGTTTTATGAAATATCTACTCACTTTTTTGCTTATATCTTAATTATTTATTTTAAGATATCTTATCTTATCATTTATATTTTGATTTTTCCAAATTTTGACTCGAAAGTGATTATAATTGAAATACTGCAATCAAATTGGTTATAATTTTGTACAAAAATTTAAGGGAATCGAATTAGTTTATGATCATTACATTTATAAACGAATAGTTTTTGTTTAAAACCTTTCCTGATGGCCTTTTGTACCGTTACAAATTAATATGAATTAGGTTTAATATTTTTTAAGCATGTTAATATAATATTAATATTTTTTTATCATTATTGATTTTATAGTTTTGGTAGTTATAATCTGAGTAATGTATGCTAAAGCCCTTTGTTTGTACTAAACCCTCACAAAAGTGTGGAAGTTGGATTATTCACCCTTCTTTCGCATAAAATGTTTAGTGAAATCAATAGATGGTTTTCGAATAATGTTTAAAATAATATGAAGGAAAGTCATAGCTAAAATGAAGTAATTTATTTATCCTAAAGTGCAGAATAATTATTCGAAATATCCTTACATTTTAATTTTAATTTTTTTAGACATTTTAATTTTTTTATGTGTTGAAAACTTTTACATTGTAATATTATTGTTGCAAAGGGTTTAATATAAAATTTATTATTATTACAAAAATATAAAAAGATGCCGTATGAACAAAAATCAGTTTGAAATGTCTTAATCTAGGGCAATTACTAAGTAGTTCAATAATCGCGAAGTGTAACAATTACTTCAGAATAAATTGCGAATCATCCTAATAGTAGAAAAAAATAATTGCTGGCATTCAATTTGTAACAATTTCTACTTCAAATAGTAGTTTTCTGTAAGTTAAAGTTGCTTTGATCATTCAGATAAAGCATTCTATTTTCATCTGAACTTTATGATGCTATATATTTTCCAAATCAAGGATTAAATTTCTCAATTCATAAAAATAGTCATGAGAGAATTAAAATAAAGTTTGATTGGCGGATAAATTCATAAAAATTTTAATTTCATGAACTATTATGCTTTAGAATCATCAAACAATTTCATTGGTAACTTCAGTTTTGAATAAAACGAAATATAAATTGTAATTGTGCCTGGTTTCATGGATGATTCATACAAACACGAACTTTTTAGAATAAGATCATAATTATATAATTCAAAATATTACTTTCTTTAGTATTATACAAAGGTCTAATTTGGCAAAAGGCCTAATTAAATGAACTACATCATAGTACACACATAATACATATCAAACAAAAGACTATAGTATTATGTTGAAATTCTCAAATAATTCCTAATTATAGAAATATGTTTTATACTATTTTTATAAAATTTGTCTTATGTTTTTTTTACCTCATAAACATGGTATAATAGGACAACCAATGTCTTATTTTTAATTTTAAAGGAATTTTCCTAAATAATAGCTACATTATTCAACCAATGCAGAATATAAATTTCATAAGTACAATTTTTACAAAGATAACACTGTATATAACCTTGATCAGGTATTTCGACAAAAATAATAATCAGCAGAGTTGGAATAATTATTAATTAAATTTATTTCTTGTAAAACTGTTTTTCTTAACCGAAGTTCTTTTTTATTAACTATTTTTTATTGTTTACGCCTTTGCCAGGGTTAAGATTCAGTTGGTTCCTTTTACCCCATCCATGTGTAAGCTATTTTAGAGGTTATATTAAAACATTTGTTGAAACTAACTTAAAATTAACAAAAAATTGTATACAACAATTAAATAACGTTTACTTAAAAATTATATTAAGATCTCGTAAACTAAACAAGAGTGCTCACAACCAAAAAACGAAAGAAAATCCTTTTATTATTGATTTTCTAACATTGCCTTTTATCTCCTGGTAGCGATATTGTAAGAATTAAGGTGATGTCTAGTTATACTTTCATTTTCCCTGTACTTTCAAATATTGCTGTTCGTTAATTTCTTATTTTACTTGCTGTTGAGATATCGGTGATGAATCTTTCTAGCTTTCTACCAAGGACCTTTAAGCCCCTCTCTGCTCTATATGTTTTTATGCAACCATTTTAAATTCAAAATCATACACTTTTTTCTTTTCAAAGTTGTTTTTCAGAAGGCGCCCCAACGGTTGGCATATGTGTATTTGGAAGATTTTTATTATTAGATTTTTTCTTATACTGATGATATATCTTCAATTTGATTTAACAATATCGGGAAAGGTTATTTCACTTCTAAGCGTATTATAAAACTTTAATAAAGTTTTGATTGACAAAAAAAATCTAAGCATATATTAGATCCATATTTGAAAACCACGTGCATTATGTAACAAATTATTTCGCTTCATGCAAATTATCACACGTTTTTTAATATTCAATATAAATTACAATGTCATTATATTAGACATGGCTAGAATGATAGATTTAATTATAATGGCTTTTAAAATCATCGCACGTGAAGTCGATAAAAATTTAATGAGTCCATGAACACTTATATTGATAGTTAGTTAACTGTTTTTCTAATTACATCTGGATTAATATGCCTGGTTCATTTTCGAGCAACTTTATAGTATATAGATTCAAAAAATATAAACACATTTTAATGAGATTAAATGAATCAATGTATTATGCTAGAAAACTGAGAAATCACATATGTTAATCATAATGTTAATTTGTCTCAATTTTTTATTAAACTAGCAAACCAGCCCTTATATGGTTGTTAATATAAAAACATCTTAATAAAACCTTGGAATATTTTTCTATTATCAGTATTAATGTTAATTCGGTGTTTGTGTATACTCACTTTCAGAGCCCCTTGTTTGCTCAGGTGAACCTAAACAAATCTTTTTACCGGTGGAAATCTTCCTTATCTCAAAAGAGAACAGAACGATATTACGTAAGATTGAGATTTGGATGAATGAATACAATTTAAAAGCAATTATGGACCATGAATAAAAATAAATAAATCATTTATTTTTTGTCCAATAAACTTATACCGTATTTTAATATGATTATTTTTTGTGGTTTTGCCTTTAATATTAAGTAATCTATAATTTTTATCAAAACACGTACTTTAACACATTTGACCATTTCCACTTATTGCAAATGTAATACGCAATTATGGCTCAATACGAGTGCAAAGGGTTAAATCATGATATTTTAAACTCGACAAATTATTTAAATCAATAAACAAGTATAAAATGCTGCTAATATACATTTAGATGTCAAACATATCATAATTTTCTGTATTAACTCTTCTGCTACGAGCGTCATCTATAGACTGCATTCACTTGACTACCTGTGTGTACGAGTATCCTTATAGACGACATTCAGGGACCGATTCTGACGCATAACAGACAAATGTTATGGCAATGCCATGTTACGCTCCAACTTTCATACATTATGCTACTGAATCATACTGAATACTATCATAATATCATGTATTTGCTATGCATTCAGGCGTTTTGGAAAGTTTTTAAATTTTCGAAATTGCTTTAGAGTTTTTGGGCGAAAACATGGATGAAAAGTTTAATTTTTTGCGAATTCTAAAGAAACGGCTTGGCAGATCGTCTTGCAAAACTAATCAACGTGAATCCATATTATATTATATATTCCCTTTATCAAAAGAGCTTTATGGACCGATTCTGCTGCATAACAGTTATGGCAAGACTATGTTATGTAGAACTTTCCATACAAAATCGTACTAAATATTGTTTTCCTCAGGTTGTGAGAAAGAAAATAACCTAGAAACCGCACAATGTCACAGAAACGATCTTATATAACAGGGTCTTTCTGACCCAGCTTCATAACTTACAAGTTACGTTGCAGTTTATGTGTAAAACGCCTGAATGCACAGCAAATGTATGACATTTTGACAGTATTTAGTATAATTCAGTAGCATAATGTATGCAAGTTGGAGCTTAACATGGCCTTGCCATAACATGTGAGCAAATTGGATCTGGCGAATATAAAAAGTCATAATAGAAATATAAAATATAAAAATAACGTTTTTTTTTCGGGTAATTTATTGTTACCATTTTAGTAGTTTTGTATTATGCAATTTGGATTTATTTTTTTCAGTTAATTTTAAATAAATATTATTTTATTTTTAGCATGGTGTTGGGGTCGAGCTGGTACGACTTCTTCCAGAGACACCAGCACCACACATAAACAATGTTTTTGCTGAAAATTTGGGACAAGAAGTTGTAAGTAATTAAATTATCTATTTTTAATATATCAGTACGAGAATATTAAGTCCAACAAATTGATATTATACTTCAGTTTATATTATTGTAATTATTCCACTCTTTTTTTTAAGATGGTGACAATGGATATAGAAACTACTCCAGTAATGCAGATGAAAGCATATAGGCTTAAATCAGGGAAGGTTAGTATTTTGGATTAGTATTTGGTTTTAGTTTGTTTGATATCAACTTACGTCTTTTAGAATATTTAAAAAAATTGCATTATTTATATCTTGTAGACCGAAACATCACACTACAGAGTCAATGTAAATCGTTTCCGAGGTAGACTCAGTGCCAAAATGGACAGACACCACTTGAAAGGAGAAATCAAACCTGAAGGATGGCCTGATGTAAGAAAATAAACTTTTGGTAATTAAAACCACGATTATTAATTGTATTTTCAATATTCAGGTACGTGTTTCATTAGCACCTATTGGTGCTATAAGGACAGGAGAGGACGAAAATCATCTGCAGGAACTCATTACGTAAGTTTTTTTTATTAAAATAAACAACTACTATATTTTATAAATATATTATCAACGAATAATTGTTTTTTATAATTTAATTTATCGTGTACAATCTGGAGAAATGTGCATTTTGCTTTGCATGATAATTTGATGCACCAGCATATAATTGCATTCCACTATAAGATAATCAGATTAAATATTATAAACATTTTTTAATTAAATTTATTCTGCGGTCTGTTTATACAAAAACAATAAGCAGATATTGCTTAGAAGATAAATTAGGAAAATAATATTGATTCGGATTAGTAGATGCACCCAACGGTTTATCTACTAGGAATGTACAAACAAAAAATGATTGTTAGAATTCCTGAAATTTCATATATTTATTTTTAAATATGATAAAATTAAGTTTTTAATATATTTATATTTTGCATAATATATTTGCAATTTTCATTCTGTATTTGTTGAATATGGTTACTTATTGGTTCAAGCCTTAAATTCTAGAAATATTAGTATGTGTAGAAATTAGCAACAATCTAAATATTTAAAAAAAAAGTAAACAGAAGCAATTAATTGTTACAATTAGAAATTCGAAGTATATTTATCGAAATAATTACTAATATGAGTATCTTGTACTAAAAAAGCAGAATTATGTTCATTTACACAAATAGGATTCAAAATGATAAAAACATTTTCAGAAATTTTTTTAAGCTTATAAATTGTTTATTGTGCAAAATAATAAGATTTTTAGTCTAAAAAGTATGATTTGAAATAATAATATGTGCGGAAAACATAGTCTTGTATTGATTAGGATTTCAAAAATTTAAAAGCATTAAACTTGATAAGAAGTCGCGTTTTGTTTAGCAGTTTTTTTAGACAGCAATATTTTTCTTTTTGTCTACTTTTTTGCAAAACCTGAACCGATTTTGAAAATATAAAATATTCCAAAGGTTCCAAAATTGGATATAGTGCTGATTACTTTAAATGAATGGTCTAAAGTTTAGACATTAACTGTTTAGACTCTAAACAGACATTCTAAAATGTTATTGTCTGACAAAAGTGGTTGAATTATAAAAATTCAATACATTTGAAATAATAAAATTGCATTGATTAATTTTAAGTGAAAGCGAATAATTTTATTTAAATGCTAAAGCTCACCGTTTTCGATTAAGTCGATCAGGGCTTCCACTAATGACGTGATCGATTTTAAGGATTTTTGGACCTACCCTTTTTTTTGTGATAAGTGGTGATATTTAATGATAACTACCACTTCTCCACCCAACATCACATGTAGGTACATACAAGCTCGTAAAATTCTTGAATTTTTTTTTTATTTTTGGATTTTTTGAAATTTAGGTAAAAAAATAAATACACATAAGATCTACCTTTCTTGATTCTTCCTTTTTGTGATTTTTTGTCAACCATCCCTTAAAGGTTAATACTCGGCCCATATCTAGAAGTTTATGCAACCTTTGAATGTTTGTTTCTGTAACTGATTTAATGCTATTTTAGGTGTAAGTTCAACATGAATTAATACATTCAATATACTATTATTTTATTATTTTATTACCAGTGAGATTATAACCAGTGCATTGCGGTGCACGGTTGCTCCTCTCGACTTCAGTGTGTATCCGACTTGTCCAAGGTTCCCAGAAGCTGCCAATAGTACTGGATCACCTTTACAACCTGGTCTTCTAAATTTAGATGGATTGGTAAGTAATGTAAAAGATAAATAATAAATTTCTTGCTCTTAATTTGAATTTATCCATATTTTTCATACATCATCAATTTTCTTATTTGGTCAAATATTATAATAATGTTTCATGCTTTAATGTCACCATTAAACTTTTTCTTGGTTGGTAACATTTAGCATTAGTTTGAAAGCATTCAAAAAAGTAAGGATTTGTGATACACATTTTCTTAATTATGCTTCATTCTACATGAAACTGAAGCTACCAAATGATACTAATGCAAATAAATTAAAAAATTGTAAATAATGTTATATTATCCTTTCCTCTTTTATAGTTGGATGGTAATATCATTAACAGCAATTCCACCACAAATTCTGTTTCGGCCGCCGGAAGGCGTTTGCTGGTGAAAGTGGTTCGTGGTGAGGGTCTTGGAGGACCCGAACCTTCCGCTGGTGCACTTTTAGAACCCTATTGCGTAGTTGAAATGGATGAACCACCTCAGCGCAATCAAACTGGTGTCAGGCAAGGACCAAATCCATTTGGGATGAAATTTTTTATTGTGAGTATTAGAAATATATATTATAATTGTATTAGAAACCACTCCATATTTGAAACTTTCATAAAAATGATTTATACAATTCTACAAATTTTGTTATCATATAATATTAATTTTGCAACACTATCCATCATAACTTATACACATACAAAGAGAATTTTTTTGCATATAATACTTCAAAAAACTAATATTATAGTTTTAAAATAATTAAGCATTGTGTGATTGAGAATTATTCTTTCAAATTAATTCGTTACATTTCAAAATAATATAAATTTTTCTACATATTATTAGCGACATCTCTCCAAACACTGCCGAGTTACTTTTCGAAGTTTACGACCGCCATCCTAGCAAAGATTCTGCTGCCGGAACTAACGGACTTAAACCAGGAGAATCGCCGACGGAACCAGGAATGCCCAAAATTTTGGGATGGGTCTTGTTGGAGTCGATGAGTTAACGGTGGGTCCAGCCAGTTGCCAAGTTTTGACCTTACAGCCTAAGCCTTATGAGCAGGAAAAAGTTTTTGGAGCTATTACTGTTGAGGTAAGTCGAGGAAAAAGTCTAATTTTGGTATAGTTTACTTTTTTAATTATCGTGGATTTATTGCCTTCTCTTCATATATTATAGTACTCATAGATATTAGACATTATATGTAGTTTGTAATAACTAGAAATCGTGGATTCAATCTTACTTTAAGAGGTCTAAATTTGATAAAGTATATTTGGAACATATATTTATCATCACATACACTAGCCTTTTTTGTTTAGAAAAGTTAGGAATATGCAGATACAAGTAAAAAGCACTACAAATTTTGTGGGAAGTTCAAATTTTATTAGTATATTTTTTATGAAAATTTGATAGAGCCAGAAAAACGCTCAAGTATTTTTAAACAAAACATTTTCTGATTTCAAGATTATTATCTTTAAAAATGTATTTAAAAATTTAAAATTCCTAAAAAACTAAAAACAATAACAATTCTCAATTCAATCATTTAACTCAAAATGATAAATGTTGAATCAAAATCAGCCACACTGGATGTCGTCAATAGACGACGCGAACGGGGGTTAAAGAATTACGTGGTGGTTTGTATAACTTAAGTTATTAATATGTTTAAAAAAAGCATAAATGCAAAGCAATTGCATTTTAAATAATGTTTTATTACAATAATTTATCTAATTCATGTTATTATTTCAGTTGTATTCATCGAAGGAGCCGAAGTTCCAGCAGGAAGGAGGCCATATAAATTAAAAGAGGCACTTCATTTGCAAAACAAGAGCCCTACTGGTACTTCTGGTATGCGCTTATCTGAATTATGTACATATGCATTTGTATTTAAAGGTAACAGCTTGGAATTATTAACATCAGAATGTATCATCCCACATTATTGTCACATGTATAATTGAGTATTTATTATGTAAAAACACTTCAGAAGTCACAAGAAGTTTGACTTGTT